GTGGTAGATTGGGGTTCACAGTGGCTTGTGAGTTTCAACTCTAAAAAAACCCAATTGCTTACTGCAAACAACTACCGTAATATGGTCAACATTCCTATATTAATGAATGGCAATCCTCTTACTGAGTCCTCCTCTTTACGTCTTCTTGGATTATCGCTTACTACTGACCTTTCATGGAAACCATATATACAATCAATTGCTAAATTAGCTTTTGCTAAGGTTGCTTCTCTTTATCGTGCTCGCCATTTCCTTACTTCTGATTCCATTCTCTACCTCTACAAATCTCTTATTCGTCCCTGTATGGAATACTGTTGTCATATTTGGGCTGGTTCTTCTAACGATTCACTTTCTCTTCTTGACAAGGTCCAAAAACGCATTGTAAATGTTGTTGGACCTGGACTATCTGCTAAGCTTGAACCTCTTTCCCATCATCGTAAAGTTGCATCTCTTTCTCTTTTCTACAGATACTATCATGGTCACTGCTCAAAGGAGTTATCATCTCTAGTTCCATCAACTAAAATTCATTCTTGTTTTACTCGTCATTCAGCTAAGTCTCATTCGTTTACTGTATCTGTCCCTGCATGCTCTAAAAACTTTTATTCATCTAGTTTTTTTCCCCGCATTTCAATCCTTTGGAACTCTCTCCCATCTTCATGTTTTCCTGACTCATACAACCTTCAACTTTTCAAGTCTTCTGTCAACCGTTTCCTTGCTCTATAACTCTGTTCTTTTTTTTTTTCCTAGTAACTCCCAACTTAATAGTGGTTGCTTGCAGCCTTGTTGGGAGTGAATGCAAATAAAAAAAAAAAAAATTATTATTTTAATGTATTTTTAGATTTCTTAGAATGGAAAACATAACAGTTAATACAATTTTATGTATTTTATTATCGATTACATAAATATACAAAATTATTGATTTGAAAGTTAAATTTGCTTTGTTAATACACTTTGTATAGGTTTATTATGTAGTAAATTGTTGATCGAGTCAGTTTTGTGGTGCAATCTTATCTTTAAATATTTAGCAATATTAATTTTATAATTTCTGCACCACTTTCATAAATAAATTACAGACAATGCTTAACAATATAAGTTTTTTCACAACCACCTAAACCATCAATTAAAAAATATACATCAGGAAGTTTCCAACGTCCATTTACACAGTTTACCATAAAAACTAAAGCTTTTTTTGTTTTGGGTTAACTACCATTATTTATATCAGCACAAAAATCAATAGAACCAGAAAATTTATGGCCTGTCCATTCAATTTTTTTTTCAAATGTTTATTTCATCTAACATAAATGAACACACAACACATTGACCAATTTTCTGAGCCTCCTTTACTTTGCTATGAAGAGTAACAATGGCTTCTTTACAAAATCCAGGGAAACAGTCAACACTTTTGTACCATTTTGTTTAATTCCAGGATGAAGTTAATTCCAGATGGCATTCCCAATGTTTTCCTAAAGAATTGTGCCAATAGTTTATCGATTCCCTTAAGCCATTTATTTGATACCTCATTTAAAGATGTTGCTATACCGCTAGACTGGAAAGTAGCAAGCGTTATTCCAATTCACAAAAAAGGACCAACAGTTGACCCAGGTAATTATAGACCTATCTCCTTGACATCTACTTGTTGTTGTGTAATGAAAAGAATCATTAATAATAAACTGATTAATTATCTCTTACTCAATAACCTAATTACAAAAGAGCAGCATGGTTTTTTTTGTAAACGTAGTACCTGTATTAATATTCTATAAAGTCTTTATGACTGGACTTTATCTGGACTTAAATCTTCAGCGCCGTATTCCAACAGATATTATTTATTTTGATTTTAAGAAAGCTTTTGATTCAGTTTCACATCCTAAGTTACTAATGAAATTACCTGCTTACAGAATAGTTGGCAATCTTCTGAATTGGCTAACTAATTTTCTGCACATGAGATCACAGATGGTAAATTTAAACAATGTTACTTCCCATGCTATATCTGTAACAAGCAGTGTTCCACAGGGGAGTATTTTTGGACCTACTCTATTCTTATTGTTTATAAATGATGTGAGCTACATTAATAAACAGCTTGATGTCAAACTTAAACTTTTTGCTGATGATATTAAATTATATTCTGTCTATGATGTACGTAGCCTTCAGTCAGGCCTTCACACAGCTGTTAATCGTTTATACGAATGGAGTTGTACTTGGCAACTCCACTGAAAAATCCTTTGTCTGTACTAATGCTAGTCAGAGTCAAAACATGGCCCAGCGTGTTTACACCATAAATAACCATGAACTTGCCCATGTTAACTGTAACTATAAGAGATCTTGGAGTTACCATTGATAGAAATCTCAAATTCAATCAACATATCAATCTTATTGTACATAAAGCTATGTCAAGAGCTTTTCTTATTATAAAATCTTTTTATTCACAAGATAGGTTGCTGATAATTAAAGCCTACTGTACTTATGTACGACCTATGGTTGAATTTTGCTCTTCAGTATGGTCACCTTACACTATATGCCTGATTAATAAAGTTTAGAAAGCGCAGCGTTTCTTCACTAAAAGAATTGCTGGTTTGTGATCAGTTTCCTATGATAAGCGTCTAGCCATACTAAAGCTTAACACGTTAGAATATTAACGAGTACCAAAAGTAGAGTGGCCAAGTTCACATGTTACAAGGCTAAAGCCAAGACCAAATATTTAAAATAATTGAATAGACAAATAAAATAAAAAGTCACAAATATAAATGTGTTCAACAAATACTCTTAACAAAAATATATATTATACCATTAGTGTAATTGATACTTCTTCAGAAATCATAGTATGATTCATGATTTTGACTCATCATATTATTCATTATTTTTGACCAAGGAATGAATTTAAGTCTTTAATCCTCTTTATTAAACAACAGTTGGGTTGCTGAAGTATTTTAAATGACTTTTGTTTAACAGCAAGATTACTTATAGTTAATTTTAAAAACTTTATATTTTATTGTTTACCATTGGTGTTAGGATTGATTTGACACTTTTCAAAAATTATATATATATATATATATATATATATATATATATTTAGGATCAATAATGTTGATAATCATACCATTAATGTTAACAATATCATAGACAATTCAATACAGTAAGTCTAATGTATATATATATATATATATATATATATATATATATATATATATATATATATATATATATATATATATATATATATATATATATATATATATATATATATATATATATATATATATATATATATATATATATACTCTTGCATGGTAGTTAAAAAGAGTTTCCTATAAACTGTAGTTTTAAAGAGCGCGTTAATAAACCAGACCAGAAAAAGTTTAAAAACTTAAATTTTTTTCTTTTTTTTTAAATGATAGACTGCCTGCCCAAACCAAACCCTCAGTCGATGTAGCAGCACTCCCTTGCGAGTCAGGCTATTTGTCAGTCGTTGTAGCAGCACTCCTTTGCGAGTCAGGCTATTTGTCAGTCGATGTAGCAGCACTCCCTTGCGAGTCAGGCTATTTGTCAGTCGATGTAGCAGCACTCCGTTGCGAGTCAGGCTATTTGTCAGTCGATGTAGCAGCACTCCGTTGCGAGTCAGGCTATAAGATAGTCGATGTAGCAACATTTACGCATGTTTTAAAAATGTTTTTTTAATAAAACAAAAACAAAAAAACTACAAATTAAAAAAAACATTCTAGTCGTTATTATTACGGTTTTTTAAAAATTTTTTAAAAAACAATAAAATTTAATGTACTTTCGCATTAATTTAATTGCTTTGACATTTCGACAACAATCAAATACAGCTTAAGAGAGGAGGTAATTAAAATTGTAGTCGTAAGAGACTTTTTTGACATTAAACGACTCTTTCGACTACACTATAAGGATATATATATATATATATATATATATATATATATATATATATATATATATATATATATATATATATATATATATATATATATATATATATATATATATATATATATATATATATATATATATATAGGCACATAATATATATGTTACAAAAAGTAAACTTAAAAGTTTTAAATCAATATGTATAGAAGAAATTGCATCTTTTTTTAGTTTCTTTTGAAAGAAATGATTTGTATCTACTTACACATGAAAAGAAACCCTTTTAATATAACTTTGAGTGCAATTATATGCAAAACAAGATAAAATCATGATCTTTATATATCTATATATTTATTTGAAAATCAAAATTTAAACAAAATAATATACATAACAAATATTAAAACCTTTAAAAATGTTAAATACATTAAGCTATTTTGCCCTAAACCAATATTATAAATTGTTTAATGCCCAAATGTCACTTCACACGCTAAAAGATGTTGGCTTCAAAATTTTGTGAATATTAACTTGCGGTAAGGCGTGTCTATCAGTTTATATGGTCAAATGGTAAAACATACAAGGAGTTGTATGTTTTACCCTTTGATTTAACGCAAGTTAAATCACAGTGATTATTTTTTAATAAACAATATATACAGCGATATAATTTTAATAATAAAATAATAAACTAATAAACTTTCAATAAATAAAGTAAACAAATTAACATATTTTTTTAATTTGTTACAAGCTAATTTTAAAAAACTCTAACATTAAAAAAAATGCTAACATTAAAAATTAACATATATTTATATATATATATATATATATATATATATATATATATATATATATATATATATATATATATATATATATATATGTACATGGCTCCTAAACAAGAAGTTTTAAGTTTGATCCCCGCCTTATACTTGGTAGTACTGTGCTTAACTTGTTTCTCTGTCCAGTAGCCTTGTTTGTCAAGGTTTGTGTTTTGCAGTTCAGTGAGAGTTATAACCACAAAAGAGTAACCTCCTCAATTGTATTAACCCTTTTGGCATTGGGTTGGTAAATAAATTTAAAAAGATAATAATAAATACTTTGATTGTTTAGTTTAAAGTATTTAATTTAGTCAGCTTTCTTTAATTTAAGAAATGTAATAATAGCATGAATATGGGAGAATTTGAAGATTTGTTTACAGATTCAGAAGATGAGTTGCCTTGTGGTTGGGAAATGAGAGTTACAGATTCTGGAAGAGTTTATTATGTTGAGTAAGTAAAAAAATCTATGTTATGTTTTTAATGGTTTTGTATATAAAAGCAATTAATTAGCAGCTTTTAACCTGTGAATAGGGATTGCAATCCCGGGCATGAATTACGATCCCGGGATTTCAGGATTGAAGTAAATAAAATCCAGGGATCCCAGTATCCCGGGATTTTATATAATGTGAGTTATTTGCTAAAAAACAGAACTTAATACTGCATATATGAATATACTTTTTGATGTTATCAATTCTTTATTTAATTTCATTATGTTTTAATGACTTACATTAATTTTCTACGGCGCCTTAAATTGTTTCAATTGTGTAACAGGCAGCAGGTGTATATAAAGATCTTAAAATAATGCAGAAATATATATACGGTACCTTCCATATTATGTTTTAAGATTACAGACTTTACAGAATAACCTTCATCAAATAATTGGATATGTAAATAACATTTGAACATTTAAAGTGTATTTGACTAAAGTAACTAAACAATCAAAATTTCAAAATAAATTTGTAAACATAAATTTTCTTAAATTTGGGTACCGATGTAGCTGCTGTAGCAACAAGCTACTTTGTAAAAAATAACATAATAAGTTGTTTGTTAATATTGAGAGACTAAAGCTGTCATTCGAGCCAGTGTTTCGTCTAAGGTTTTTTTTTTCCAGATGCAAAGTAACTCGTTATTCTTCGTTTCGTAGGAGGCTTCTCGTCGGTTCTGGCATCATTCAACTGTTGACTCGAACTAGGTAAATTTTTGTCGGCTCAAGTTACTTTCAAATTATGCTTAGTTGATAAGTGCGTATGAAGGCCTTTTGTAGAACCACCCAATGTTTTCAAAATTACACCACATTTCTTACATTTTGCTGCCAAATTATCCGCAGACTTCAAATAATGTGACCACACTGAAGTTGGGTCTTTATCTTTTTTGTGTAGAAAAAATGTTGTTCCCTTTTCACTGTTTTCATTCATGTATAGAAGGATATATTTTTAAGGTGCATTAGTAAACAACATATTATTGCGGTAAACAACAAAAGCATTAAAAAGGTTATCAGTTCAAAACGTTCAAAACGATTCATTCCACAGTCAAATTTTGTATGTATTCACACTAGAATTCCTTCAAGCGGAATTAATTGTCAAGGGCATTATAATGTTGCAATAACTAATAATTGTACAAATATAGTTATACAAATCGCTAGAAATATCCCAAAGGGAATTGTTATGTAGTAATCATTAAATTTTTTTAGATATAATTTTTTTTTTATTACTTGTTCATTTTTATTTTTTTCATTCTCTAAAAATATTTTCTGAACAAAACAACTTAATAAACTCAAGCAATCACTTAACCACAAATTCGCTTAACATTTTTAAAATTTATCTTTTTAACGCGAGAAGTCTTGCCAACAAACTCAACGATTGTTTTTTATACAATAGTCAAACAAACCTGCCTTAATTTGGGTTTGTGAAACTTTTTTCAATGATAAAATCCCGAACTCCATGGTCTATTCAAAAATTTGTTCCATTTATCGTAAAGATAAAGCATAAACAGGATAAACCTGCAAAGCAGCATTATATAACTCGTTATAATTTAGTATAGTTACCAACTCTGAACATTTTGTTTTACAAAATAATTTAATTAGTTCAATCCTGCTATAATCCCGAAAATCCCGGGATTTTGTGTTTAGAATCCCGGGATTTTCGGGACCCAAAAGCGTCCGGGATCTCGGGATCCGGGATCCCGGGATTGCAATCCCTACCTGTGAATTTATCTAATAAAACTAAAATAAAGTTTGTTTTAGCAAAAGTTTTAATATTTTTCCTTATATTTTTTCTTATAATATCATCCAAAATTTAAAATCTGTTGAAAACAAAGTGCAGCAGAATTACTGCACTTTGTTTTCAATAGATTTTAAATTTTCGATGACATTACAAGGGTGTACACTCTGTCTTTTAGTTAATCGCCAGGCAACTGACTAAAAGACCGAATCCGCCAGAGGGGCGACTGAAAGTAACTTTTTTTTTATATTGGTTGCCTGGCAATGTTTTTTATAATTACAACACAAAAATAAAGCGCTTAAAAAGATGAAACAAAAACATGTTTCGAAAAAATGTCTTGCCTGATCACACAGATTTTCTTTTGATAACTTGATCGCTTCTATGTGCTTGCATTTAATGTTTTGCTAAGCAGGCTAAAATTGCTAAAAAAAATAAACTAAACTTGAAGGAAAATAATAAAAAAAAAGCTAAAAGGTTTTTTTTATCAAATATAAAAGTCTTAAATATGGAAACTCTTTTATTCAAAATTATTATTAAATTGAAAAAACTTTTATTATACTTCGACACAATATTTTAATTGCGCAAACTTTAATAAATATTTGACAAAAACAATAATACAATCAATTTAATAATTTGGATGAAATATGTTGTAAACAGTCATTAAAACTTTGTCATTAAAAATCAAGTTCCTTAACTTAAAAAAAGTATTGAACTCCTTTAATCTATAATTACTAAAATCTTTTAAAAATATTGTTGCTCTCCCACTTAAATTTGATGCGTGTTAAAATTTTAATATTCGAAGACATCTTTATTCACAAAGAAGAAGAAAAATGAATGAACTTTTATATTAATAGAAAGCAAAAAAAAAGTTATGGTGTCAATAGTTTTAGTTGCCTTTTATGAACGTCATCGAAAACTTAGAAAAAATGTAACTTTGTTTATAAAAATAAAAATCGCTTTACGAAGTAAAACGATGATTTAAAAACAGTCTTTTATATAATTATTTATTTTGTAAATTACTTAACTAATTAAATAAATAACTTAATAACTTAATTAAATAAATATGAGATATTAATATAAAAAACCCTACACAAAATTCGGTTGCCTGGTACCGTCGGGCAACCACGAGTGTACATCCCTGCATTATAAGAAAAAATGTTGAATTTTTTCAAAAAAGCTGTGTTAGAAGTGGATAAAAATTGACTGACTTTTTCAAAAAGTTTGTGAGCACTAGTGTTGAGGGTGGGTGAGCAGTGTTAAATCTAGTAGATTGCCACTTCCATGGCCATTTGATTGAATAACTTTATTTTGTTACAAGTTATTCTGTTGCTAAACCAACTATTCAATAATCCTAGTTTGAAGTTTAGGATTGAACACATATGTTTGCTTAATGACAATATTTGTTTTCCATCGATTCTGAATCATTGTGTCAAAGTTAAAATCATTTAGAAGTTCCTTCTATAAACTTTCTTTCTTAAATTATTTTTTTTTTTTAATATTCTTGTTGGAATAAAACCTGGAAAGTACTACATCAGTGATGTAGTATTTACCAATTAAAGCTTTCTTAATGTCAGCAGTTGCACCTCTTCTTAAAATTAGATACTTTCATTGCTAAAATTGACAAAGTAGGCTATGTTGCATCAAGCGCTTCAGTAAATTTCTTAAATTTCATATTTTCACGCAAACATAACTCTTGCTATCCATTATTTTTAAATGGATTGTTGATTTCTTTTTGTAGTTCAACAATGAACCCAATATTTATTTTGTATAACTGTAGAATATTATTTTGTAGAATTGTACTGATATCTTCAATATATATACAGGGACTATTCTAGACTGTTTTTGACAGCGTCAACCGTATTTAGGCGTCGTCCACATTAAAAATTAAGAACCTTTTTTTTTTTTTTACATTTTTTATGGCAAGTGTTGTAATTCAATTCCTTATTTTACATGCTATGTATATATATAGCATGGAAAATAAGGAACTGAAGGTGAGCGGTTATTTTGACTGGCCAACTCAAGGAATTGAAGGTCAATTGTTTTTTTGTTTTTTTTTTTATAAATCTTAGTAATAGTTCTTCATGATTAAACTTTATAAATACCAAATAAGTTAATGCTTGAAGGGTAAAGAATTTAAATTTATTTTAATAATAACAGTTTGAAATAAAATCAATACTTTTTTCAAAAGCACTGATTAATTAAATTAATGATATAAATTATTAATTATTGAATTATAATTTTTAATTTATTTTAAAATAATTCATTCCAATGGCTTTGCAAATAGTGGGAAAAGGTGCGCGAAAATTAATTGAAAAGATTAAATGAAAAAAAAAGCACAGTTGGATTTAGTTATTAATTACATATAATAGTTTTAAATATTAAATATAATAATTTTGAATAGTGATGAAATATATATCTGAAATTAAAGAAGAAGAAATTTTGCAAATTTTATAACTCTTGCTCATTAAAGTCATTTCAAAAACCGCTAATGCTAATCACTTAATAATAATGTTACTAAGTCTTGTTTGCAGGTATATTTAAACTGAATATTTAATACTTAAAGTTGTTTTGAACATTCATCTTCTTAGTATTAAACAATTTGTTTAATGAAACAAACTTTAAAAATTAAATTTTAAAACAATTAAACATTTGTTTCATGAAACACTATCAAAATTAATAAATTTACATAAAACGAGATTTTTAATAAATATATATATATATTTTTAATAATCCTGTTATAAAAAAAAAGTGTAATTACTCAATTAGTAATTTTTAATTTATCTATAAACTTGTTCATTCAATCATTTATTTGCAATTTGCAGCACAACTTAAAATAAAATAAAAATATTTAAAGAAAAATTTAAAAAAAATTGACTAAGTGCAGAAGAAAGAAAAACTGTTCATAGTTGAATACATAGTTTATTATATATTATTATATTATTAATAAAAAGATTTTTAAAATAGTAATAAAATAAGAACTTTAAACATTTAAGGAAAAAAAATTTTCACCATCAGTAAAATAAAATTAATTTAAATAAGTGAAGCAAAAAACTTAATAATTATATTTTATACTTCGTTACGTTTATGTTACATTGTAAATATGCCATACATTCGTCAACAAAGTGAATTAATGAGTTCAGGGTTTTTAAAGCAGAAAAATTACTGGTTTCTATTAATATGCAATAGTTGTTAGATAAAAGTTTTAACAACAGTAAGTTTGGTATATACTCA